TCTGTCTGTCTGTCTGTCTGTCTGTCTGTCTGTCTGTCTCGTCTGTCTGTCTGTCTGTCGTCTGTCTGTCTGTCTGTCTGTCTGTCTGTCTGTCTGTGTCTGTCTGTTGTTGTCTGTCTGTCTGTCTGTGTCTGTATGTCTGTCTGTCTGTCTGTCTGTCTGTCTGTCTGTCTGTCTGTCTGTCTGTCTGTCTGTCTGTCTGTCTGTCTGTCTGTCGTCTGTCTGTCTGTCTGTCTGTCTGTCTGTCTGTCTGTCTGTCTGTCTGTCTGTCTGTCTGTCTGTCTGTCTGTCTGTCTGTCTGTCTGTCTGTCTGTCTGTCTGTCTGTCTGTCTGTCTGTCTGTCTGTCTGTCTGTCTGTCTGTCTGTCTGTCTGTCTGTCTGTCTGTCTGTCTGTCTGTCTGTCTGTCTGTCTGTCTGTCTGTCTGTCTGTCTGTCTGTCTGTCTGTCTGTCTGTCTGTCTGTCTGTCTGTCTGTCTGTCTGTCTGTCTGTCTGTCTGTCTGTCTGTCTGTCTGTCTGTCTGTCTGTCTGTCTGTCTGTCTGTCTGTCTGTCTGTCTGTCTGTCTGTCTGTCTGTCTGTCTGTCTGTCTGTCTGTCTGTCTGTCTGTCTGTCTGTCTGTCTGTCTGTCTGTCTGTCTGTCTGTCTGTCTGTCTGTCTGTCTGTCTGTCTGTCTGTCTGTCTGTCTGTCTGTCTGTCTGTCTGTCTGTCTGTCTGTCTGTCTGTCTGTCTGTCTGTCTGTCTGTCTGTCTGTCTGTCTGTCTGTCTGTCTGTCTGTCTGTCTGTCTGTCTGTCTGTCTGTCTGTCTGTCTGTCTGTCTGTCTGTCTGTCTGTCTGTCTGTCTGTCTGTCTGTCTGTCTGTCTGTCTGTCTGTCTGTCTGTCTGTCTGTCTGTCTGTCTGTCTGTCTGTCTGTCTGTCTGTCTGTCTGTCTGTCTGTCTGTCTGTCTGTCTGTCTGTCTGTCTGTCTGTCTGTCTGTCTGTCTGTCTGTCTGTCTGTCTGTCTGTCTGTCTGTCTGTCTGTCTGTCTGTCTGTCTGTCTGTCTGTCTGTCTGTCTGTCTGTCTGTCTGTCTGTCTGTCTGTCTGTCTGTCTGTCTGTCTGTCTGTCTGTCTGTCTGTCTGTCTGTCTGTCTGTCTGTCTGTCTGTCTGTCTGTCTGTCTGTCTGTCTGTCTGTCTGTCTGTCTGTCTGTCTGTCTGTCTGTCTGTCTGTCTGTCTGTCTGTCTGTCTGTCTGTCTGTCTGTCTGTCTGTCTGTCTGTCTGTCTGTCTGTCTGTCTGTCTGTCTGTCTGTCTGTCTGTCTGTCTGTCTGTCTGTCTGTCTGTCTGTCTGTCTGTCTGTCTGTCTGTCTGTCTGTCTGTCTGTCTGTCTGTCTGTCTGTCTGTCTGTCTGTCTGTCTGTCTGTCTGTCTGTCTGTCTGTCTGTCTGTCTGTCTGTCTGTCTGTCTGTCTGTCTGTCTGTCTGTCTGTCTGTCTGTCTGTCTGTCTGTCTGTCTGTCTGTCTGTCTGTCTGTCTGTCTGTCTGTCTGTCTGTCTGTCTGTCTGTCTGTCTGTCTGTCTGTCTGTCTGTCTGTCTGTCTGTCTGTCTGTCTGTCTGTCTGTCTGTCTGTCTGTCTGTCTGTCTGTCTGTCTGTCTGTCTGTCTGTCTGTCTGTCTGTCTGTCTGTCTGTCTGTCTGTCTGTCTGTCTGTCTGTCTGTCTGTCTGTCTGTCTGTCTGTCTGTCTGTCTGTCTGTCTGTCTGTCTGTCTGTCTGTCTGTCTGTCTGTCTGTCTGTCTGTCTGTCTGTCTGTCTGTCTGTCTGTCTGTCTGTCTGTCTGTCTGTCTGTCTGTCTGTCTGTCTGTCTGTCTGTCTGTCTGTCTGTCTGTCTGTCTGTCTGTCTGTCTGTCTGTCTGTCTGTCTGTCTGTCTGTCTGTCTGTCTGTCTGTCTGTCTGTCTGTCTGTCTGTCTGTCTGTCTGTCTGTCTGTCTGTCTGTCTGTCTGTCTGTCTGTCTGTCTGTCTGTCTGTCTGTCTGTCTGTCTGTCTGTCTGTCTGTCTGTCTGTCTGTCTGTCTGTCTGTCTGTCTGTCTGTCTGTCTGTCTGTCTGTCTGTCTGTCTGTCTGTCTGTCTGTCTGTCTGTCTGTCTGTCTGTCTGTCTGTCTGTCTGTCTGTCTGTCTGTCTGTCTGTCTGTCTGTCTGTCTGTCTGTCTGTCTGTCTGTCTGTCTGTCTGTCTGTCTGTCTGTCTGTCTGTCTGTCTGTCTGTCTGTCTGTCTGTCTGTCTGTCTGTCTGTCTGTCTGTCTGTCTGTCTGTCTGTCTGTCTGTCTGTCTGTCTGTCTGTCTGTCTGTCTGTCTGTCTGTCTGTCTGTCTGTCTGTCTGTCTGTCTGTCTGTCTGTCTGTCTGTCTGTCTGTCTGTCTGTCTGTCTGTCTGTCTGTCTGTCTGTCTGTCTGTCTGTCTGTCTGTCTGTCTGTCTGTCTGTCTGTCTGTCTGTCTGTCTGTCTGTCTGTCTGTCTGTCTGTCTGTCTGTCTGTCTGTCTGTCTGTCTGTCTGTCTGTCTGTCTGTCTGTCTGTCTGTCTGTCTGTCTGTCTGTCTGTCTGTCTGTCTGTCTGTCTGTCTGTCTGTCTGTCTGTCTGTCTGTCTGTCTGTCTGTCTGTCTGTCTGTCTGTCTGTCTGTCTGTCTGTCTGTCTGTCTGTCTGTCTGTCTGTCTGTCTGTCTGTCTGTCTGTCTGTCTGTCTGTCTGTCTGTCTGTCTGTCTGTCTGTCTGTCTGTCTGTCTGTCTGTCTGTCTGTCTGTCTGTCTGTCTGTCTGTCTGTCTGTCTGTCTGTCTGTCTGTCTGTCTGTCTGTCTGTCTGTCTGTCTGTCTGTCTGTCTGTCTGTCTGTCTGTCTGTCTGTCTGTCTGTCTGTCTGTCTGTCTGTCTGTCTGTCTGTCTGTCTGTCTGTCTGTCTGTCTGTCTGTCTGTCTGTCTGTCTGTCTGTCTGTCTGTCTGTCTGTCTGTCTGTCTGTCTGTCTGTCTGTCTGTCTGTCTGTCTGTCTGTCTGTCTGTCTGTCTGTCTGTCTGTCTGTCTGTCTGTCTGTCTGTCTGTCTGTCTGTCTGTCTGTCTGTCTGTCTGTCTGTCTGTCTGTCTGTCTGTCTGTCTGTCTGTCTGTCTGTCTGTCTGTCTGTCTGTCTGTCTGTCTGTCTGTCTGTCTGTCTGTCTGTCTGTCTGTCTGTCTGTCTGTCTGTCTGTCTGTCTGTCTGTCTGTCTGTCTGTCTGTCTGTCTGTCTGTCTGTCTGTCTGTCTGTCTGTCTGTCTGTCTGTCTGTCTGTCTGTCTGTCTGTCTGTCTGTCTGTCTGTCTGTCTGTCTGTCTGTCTGTCTGTCTGTCTGTCTGTCTGTCTGTCTGTCTGTCTGTCTGTCTGTCTGTCTGTCTGTCTGTCTGTCTGTCTGTCTGTCTGTCTGTCTGTCTGTCTGTCTGTCTGTCTGTCTGTCTGTCTGTCTGTCTGTCTGTCTGTCTGTCTGTCTGTCTGTCTGTCTGTCTGTCTGTCTGGTCTGACCGTCTCTGTTACAGGCGCTGGAGGAGCTGCTCAGGGCCGGGCTGTGGGACCACGCGCTGCTGCTCAGCGGTGCTGACCTGCCGCTGAGGGGTGTGGACGAGCTGGCCGCCGCGCTGGCCGCTCACCGTTCCGTCTCGTTTGTCAGCACCTTCGACGGCTGGAAGGACGACCCGGTGCGCCCCCAGCCGGTCCGGTGGGTGGCGCTCAGTCGCAGCGACATCTCCTCGTCCGGGGAGACGAGGTCTGCGTACATCAGCGCATTACCCAGTGTTCACTCTGAAAATCATTCAAGGATTGTGATTTATGTAATCGACTTTTGGAGAATGTTTTTTTTTTATTTTAATTATGAAAACAAGCCCACCCTGCGTTTTTTTTCTTTCCCACGGCTTTCTTCGGCCGTAGACCTTTGTGCACACCTGAGTTCAGAGGTGTGCTGAGGTCCTTGGCTCAACTAATCGATTGAAATAGTACCAATGACTGCATTTACCGAATAACAAAGTGTTGCCAATAATGCATGTTTATTGTGTGAATATTTACCGCTATACTTTTTCAGAACTATGTGCGACAACCACGTGTACACACTCAGTGTTGAACATTCCCCCGACCCGACTTTTCGCCTGAAAGGAAGGTGTGTCTCCTCTCCTGTGCATGTATACGTACGGCTCTCGCGAGATTAATCAGTAGGTACCTATTGCACTTTTACATTTCCGGTTATATTTCAGAAACTAATCGATCTACGATGAAGCCATTTTACACGATCATGGCCGGCTTGTGAACCAACAAGTCGATTGCATCTTCAACACTTAAAAGAAGCCTAAGACGACGAAGATATAGCCTGAAATACACTAAATTTACTAGGTGCAAAACATACCGTTAAAACCCGCGAGACCTATACCTATAAATTTATAAGGCGTTAACGTATTAAGATGTACGAACACATTGATCCTATTTGTATAAACGTGCTAGATTTAGTAAAGTTTGACTACTCAAACCAATATTTTGTCTTACATGAGCAATGAAAACCAACCACATTTTCGGTTTTAGCGTTTGTAGTCCGTGCTCCCGCAGACCTGACGCGGTCATCTGTTCACCGTGGCCTTTGTGTGCAGCTCTCAGTGGTTTGTCCTCTCGCGGGAAATGGCCGAGTTCGTGACCAGGCTGGAGCACCACCCAGACATCGCGCGCAGAATGTTCCGCTTCAAGAACCTGGGCATACCCGACGAGTTCGTATTCTCGACGCTGCTCTTCGCCTCTCCACACCGGTGAGAAAACCCGCCGCGCTGGATAAACCGCATAGCCAAGCATTTCTGTGTAATGTGGTCTTAGTGTCGCGTCTATAAGTCCTTTTTCTTGTTTCCTATTACCGTTCTAGAAAGCGTTCCTATTGATTGGATCGGGCCGATCCTCCTGTCCGGCTGCCGCAGTCAGGCAGACTTCCCTGAGCTGGTCGGCCGGCTATCGACGTGGTCAGCCCTCGGTCTGGAGTCGGGTGGGTCGGGAGGCTCGTCTCTGGCGTTCACCCGTTCAGCCACGCCGGTTACCCAGCCCCCGCACCAGTTCCGCGTGTTCCGCTGAATCCCACGGACCTGGAATTCAGGCCAGAGCAGACCCCCGGAAAGTCAAACGGACGCCGTTTTTATAAACGCTAACCAGCACTGAATATTCGAGTCCACCCGTCCACCCCGTGTTGTTGCTACTCGTGCTCTTTGTCCGCCGCCTGCCGCCGACGCTGACGTGTTATTATAGCCGGTATTCCCGCGCCGTTATCTAACTACGCAAGCGAAATTGGCCGTGATTGCTGATTACGGAGCGAGCGAAGCGAGCGGAGTCTTTCCTTAGATTAACGGAAATTTCTGAGTATGAGCGGCCGGCCGGCCGGCCGGCCGGCCGGCCGTGGTCACGCTTTTGCGAGGCTTATATCTCAGCAACCACTTGACCGATTTACATGCGGTAATTTTTATAGGGTAGCTTCATTCCTTCTACCAAGTATTGGACTATTCCCGATGCATGTGGGTGACCCCTTATGCACGTGCCACGTGCAAAACGAAGAGGTGTCACTTTTGTAATTGTTGCAATATCTCGGTAACTACTTGGCCGATTGCGCTGAAAGTTGGCATGTAGGTAGGCACCCACTATGCAATGCATATCCATGTGCCAGAGTTGAGGTGCTGCTGCACGTGCGCACGTGCAGGGGTCGATTTCAGATCTCGAGAACGACTGGACCGATGGCGCTCAAATTTGGTACATGGTTAGGGACCGGTTAGTAGGGTGCCGTGCACAAGTCAGTTGGGACCCATTTTGCACGTGCGCACGTGCAGGGTGCCGCTTCCAGATCTCGAGAACGGCTGGGCCGATTGTGCCCAAATTTGGCACATCGCTAGAGACCAGTTAGTAGGGTGCCGTGCACAAGTCAGTTGGAGGTACCCCCTCGCAATTTCGCACGTGCAAGGCCCACCCTCTCGCTCGCTCCGTTAGTCGCCCCAAAAGGCGTTATACTGGTACAGTATCAGACGAAAAAAGGAATATTGATGCGCAATATTAATTGTTGGGCGAGTTTAGAATAAGTGCGTAGTTTGGTACTCTCTATTGTGGATACTTACATTGTGCATAGCTCATTGCTCATCAGTACGAGCACAAACATCCCAGATATGTGTCATGCCAGAGCGCTGTTTATCTTTTCTCCATGAGCAGTGGTTCGGACCTATTTGGTATTTGCTGGTTGCTGTTTACATCGTTTGGGAGCAAACTGCGCCACTGAGACCGGGCGCTCCAGTAACAGACGCCCTCGCGTATACGCCACTGTGACTCCAGGAATGCACACATCAACACCAACCTGCACTATCTGAAGATGTTCCAGCCCAACAACGCCGACGGTCTGTGTCGTCACCAAGACGACGCCGATTTCTGCGGCAGGGTAGTGGCCGCGCTGCGGGCGGCTGGAGGATTTTCGGAGCACGGGGCTCGGTGTCACAGGGTTCGCCCAAGACCTCGCCGGGTTTTAGGCGGTTTGGAGCAGGCGTTCGATCGCTCGGTGGACCTGGCACATGTTTGTTGTTCAAAGGTTTCATTTGTTTACGATCCACCCTGGTTCCTGTCTAGTGTCTTCTGACAATGTTGTCATAAATTGAAATCGGGATTTTGTGTTTGTTTCAGGTTACCTGTGCCTTGTGTATAATTGCACGACATTTTCAACCTGGTTTCATGACATATCTGCGTTTAGTTAAGTGATGAATGTCTGATGATGTTTGGGTGTGTAATGTGTATGTGTGTAAGTTTCATTTCGTCAGTTTATTTTTTATTTCCATTTCTTTTTGGGACGCTTTGTTGTGGGGCCGTTTTCTTTCCAGGATGCATTTCGATCACGCCGTTTTCAATCTCCCTGGCTTTCGTTGTGTGGAGCTGAGATATTTAGCGTTTAAAACGGTGCCAACTGACAAACATCCACAATCAACATGTTTTCGTTTCTTTTTATTTTCGGATTGATGCTGCTTAACCCTCGCCCGCACATGGGGGGGGGGTGGTTGCCACCCCCCCCCCCCCAGGCAGTCTTTCTGCTCTGCACTCCACATTTTTAAAGCTAGAAGGCTGATTTTTCGTATAGCTGCTCGTCTATCCTTTTTTGATGTCCACTGAAAATTTCAAGTTTCTGTGATTTTTGGTTTCGGAGATATGACCTTGTTTTTCAGGTCATGTCATGACCCAAATGGCCAATTCTCAACATCTTGCGTTTGCCATGGGCCTTGTGAGCTTTTGACACCCTGATTTCGGCCTTTTTTGCCAGTCTTACCTCTCACCTATCATGGAACATGTTGTTCGACGATGTACAGGGGTCAAGGTCAGGGTCAAGGTCAACCTAGGTCATCTAAGATAATTGCGTTTTAGGCAAGCTGAATTTACTTTTTGTGAAGTTTTTTTGACTGCATTTTTGGTAAAAGCTTCTCAGATCATGATTTCATGTGATATGGACCCAAAAACAATCGGTGCACACATCAGTATACACACAGACACACACAGACATACAAACACATATGATTGACCTTGACCTAACTTGACCTGAAATGACCTCAGCAGCAAAATTCTGGTCGGATAGTGTGACAAAGAGGTTCTAGCTGGCTTGGCACCAGAAAACAGCATCGTCATCGGTATTTGATAAGCAGCGCACTTGATATCCAACGGTGACCCAAAACAGCAACATTTTTTAGTTTGACCTGACCTGGAAGGTCAATGACTGACCTGAGAAGGTAAAACTGGGTATCATTGGATTCGTCTCTTCCCAAAGAATCTTTTTGGTCTTTACTGCTAAGCTCTATCTCCAACAGGAACGAAATGGCGCGGGGGGGGTGGCAACCACCCCCCCCCCCCCATGTGCGTTCTAGGATGGGAAAATGGCATGTGCGGGCGAGGGTTAAGCCTGAAAAATGTGAGAGTGGCGACAAGCCAATGAGTATCTGCTTGCATATCTGCTCATTTTTTATCGATAAAACTTGCGCTCTGCTTATAATGTAACTATTGTCAATACTGATTCGATTAAAGTTTGTGCCGCAATATGCGACTAACGATTCCTCCTCCAGAACAAACTGTGCATGAGGCGCGCCACTGACGCCCCAATGTCCGCCCGCAGGGTCCCGGAGATTTCACCGAGAATGACCTGCACAAACTCAAGGTGTGGGGTGTGCCGTTCAAGTTCTTCGCCCGCAAGTTTGCCACCTCTGACCCCTCGTCCGAGGTCAGGTCACGGGTCATGGCAATGGCCGCCGAGTTCTCACAGTTCGTACAACGGGAAATTCCACGAGCTTCTCTCAGGTATGACCAGACATACAAGTGGTTGTCGGTATTGGAAATGACTCGACTTTTCACAAAACACATTCATTCGATTTTGCGAGATTGGTTGGTGCTACATTTTCACTATTGTATGTGTTAACTATGTGAATCACGTCACGTGAAGCAATGAAATATGGTTACTACTTACGAGAACATACTAAGGCATACAGCTTATATCGCTGTGTTTCCACAGGTATATCACAAAGTCGGCACTGAAATTACTACAGAGCCGTTCTAACACATCTGAGTTTAGAACTGTAAGCGGACAGATTTTACCGACAAATATAACGAAAGTTATGGTGAGTCTGCACGGTGGATCGGAAAATTATGTATTATACGGCTAGACGTTGAGTAACTTTATATTCTTACGTAGACGTTTTAGACTATTTCACGGTACATACCTACTATATTTTTTTCAGCAAACAAAATAGCACTTACTTGTGACATGAGTAAACAGCTAGACATTGCAAATTGCTTCCACGGATATACAGACTAGGCCGATTGTTGAGACCTCGATGTACTTGCTTTTCAGGTCTCTAAATGCTAGATTTCTCCCAGACAGATGCAATGAGACTGAACCCTCTGCTGTTGAAGGGCCGTCCGCTCCCCGCGTCTCAACAGAGTACCTATCTCCTCCCCTCCTCTACAGGTGTTTCCGAGATTTGGCAGCCCCTCCGACCACTGCCGGCCAGCCTGGCAGCTCTGGAGGACGGCAGTGGAGCAGTTCGTTTTCTGGGTCGACTTCTCTGTGGTGCGTGTAATGACACTGTTACCTATTTGCTGGTTCACTGCAGCTCATGCTAACGGCTACCGAATGCCTAGATGTTATGCTTATGGGATCTCAGCGTGATCTTAAACGGAACAAATTCAGTCGATAACATCAGATACCCTCCATTGTGTTCGCCATTTGCGACTCAAGCGCGGCGGGCGGCCGTTAACCGGTTTTGAGCCGTGCGGCACAGTATGCTTCCAGGCGTTCGTCACTAGCGCCACCTATGATCGAAGAGGTAAACTACTTCCGTCTGGCGGGGCGCGCTGCTTCGTGGAATCATGGCTTCCGTTTGATACGGTGATAGCTGATACCTCTTGCTTAATTATTTCAAGTTATGTTTGAGAATGTTGTAAAGCTTCTCTAAATGGACTGCCACTGTAACGTAATCGTCAAATGCCCCAATCGTATTCCACATCAATTCGTATGCATATTGCATAACGACTAACGAGTGCGTACGTTCGAGCATGCCATGCTCGACAGTGCAGCTTCTCTGGTGAAGCCGATGATGAGTTGCGACTGTCTGACGCCCCCCCCCCCTCCCCTCTCCTGGTCCAGAAGCTGGACGGCACAGCGGGGGCGTCTGTGGAGGTGCGGGCTCGCGCGACCGGCGCCCCGACCGTCCGCTGCTACCCCTTCGGTCATCTGCTGGCCATGGGCCTAGGTGGTGGCTACCGAACACATGACAACGCCACGGTCAGGTCAGTGACTGCCGCACGGAGCGAGATGTGGGGCAGCGTGATGAGAATAATGTCGACATGATTTATGGGCAATATGGATCACGTTGAATTTCCGCTGACAGCATTACGTTACCAACTTCTTATACTCGTACATGATGATTTATTGGTAACGTTGTGGAAACTCATTGAACTTTTTTCATTCGCTACCATTCTGCATTTGGTATTTTGCATAACCGTTTTTCGTTTGCTGGCTAAGCTGCATGCAAAGCGCCTATCTATGTAGTCAGAATCGGTTATGTTTTTTTGTCCGAACTCCGTACCTAGACCACACTGCTCTCTCGCGACCACCAGGGAGCGGCGGCCACCGTTCCCGTTCCTGCGTGCCGGCGTGCGGCGCGTGACGCTGGCGCTGCTGTTCTCTGTCTCTGGCGCTCTGAGGCGGCAGCCGGACGGCGGACGACCGCTCGCCCTCCGCCGGCGGTCCAACGTCACGGCACCGGAGCCCGTCTCAGTGGCGGTCACAGTCGCTGACGGCGGCGGAGCGGTCTGGTGAGCAGCGGCGGCGCAGTGGCGGCGCCAGGGAACAAAACTGGGCACAGCACATCGAATAGCACTCAATAGCGATTTCAAAATACGGCTAGGTACCAAAGTAATCAAGCCGTGATAACTATGCTTCAAAATGACGATTTATACGACCACCGTGTGGTTTAACCCGCGCCCCGTAGGGCTACCGGCGGACCCTACCGGCGGTAGGGGGGGGGGGCGTTTCGGCCCCCCCCCTAAGATCTCGGAAAGTTACCGGCCGATTTTCAAAATTCAAACGGCGTTCGATAGCCCCACCCGGGAACTACCTTGTGACCAAATTTCATTGACCTAGGTCAAACCGATGACGTCACAGGTCAGGTCAAAGGTCAGATTTTCACCGTTCACAGGCAATTCAAGAAATGTGCTGTGAAAGCGAGTAAATTGGTAATTTATTGAAAACCATCGATGGTACATTGTTCGTCAAACACATACTTTGCTATCTGAGGTCACTGATACCAGGTCAGGTCACAGCGAGGTCAGGTCACCGGGGGTCACAATATGAATGTGTCGTGTGATACATGTTTTATGGTCCATTTTACATGACAAATGCGATTATGTGGGTTAGGCAGCCTTTGGGGCCAGCCTAGGTCACGTTTTGGTGAAGGTCAGGTCAAGGTCAGGTCAAATTAGGTCAAATTTCAAAGTTGATATTTTTGCATAAAATGGGTATCGATTCGATGCAGCTCGTCACGGGGAGTCTAATGGTGGTCTTCGTTTTGCTCTACGAGTTCTAGAATTGCCAAAAATTGAGTGAAAATTTGACGTCATCATTTTTGAACAGTTTTTTTCGCTATAACTTGGCCAAAAAACGAGGTATCGATCTGAAATTTGGTATGTGGATAGAAGACGGTAGGCACTACCACATATATTCCGGTTTTTTCGAAACTCAAAAAACTTTTTGGAGTTTTTGGCGAATATATCCAAAAAAAATGCTTTTTTTATTTTTGGGGGTCAAAACTCAAAAATTTCAAAAATTCGAGATAGCAGTTTTGTAGCCCTGTCAATTCTACACCTTTTATGTCTTGATCATTTTTCTGTATCTTCAAAGCTGTAGTCCTGACAGGTCTTCTCGCGAAGGTCTTTTTTCGGTCGAAAATGACAGAACATGACGTCACTCTGACGTCATTTGTGGCCAACCTATCATAGCCTCTGAAAAAAATTTTTGGTCACAATGTGTAAAATTGATGCCCGGAGGGGTCCTGAAAGTTTGGTGGCGATATCTCCAGCCGTTTAGGAGATATCGACCGAAAAGGACAGGGGGGGCCGTTTCGCCCCCCCCCCCCCTACGGGGCGCGGGTTATGCACGGGGATTCGCTGTGGTGTCTCTATGCTAAACATGACGGCAGGTTCTGTGACGCCAGGTGCTTCAGCAGAGTGAACATCACGCTGAGGTCGCTGAAGCACAGTCAGGACCTGAACGTGACGCACGGATCGCAGACGGCGACTGTCGACTGTCGCGCTCCCCTGCCGTCCAACAAGTACACCGCCCGGCTGGTCCAGGTAATCAACTGGGCTCATTCACGGATGGAACGTTCGATCATGTAAAATCGCTCAGTTCGCATCCGACAGAAAGTTGTTTCAAAATATTTAACTCTGTTTGTTCATGCTTTTTATTTTGCGCTTACGAATAATAAGCATAGTGAATAAGTTTGAACCCAATTTGCTTAATTTTCCAGTAATTCAGTCTATGTCCAGAGATTCGTAAAAATGAATGAATTGTAGTGTTACTACCGTATAGTTTATACGTATAGCCGTATAATACGATCTATGAAGCTTTCAGTCGCAGTGTAACACCCAGCGAGAATCGAGAGGAGCACCGAGACCTTTGTCCTCCCGCGATCTCAACATACACCATTATAGGATGGTGTCGGTGGACGGTACGACTGTCGCCTGTTCACGTTACTTGATATCTCTATTCACCTATTCTCGGCGTTCTCACGTGACCCCTAACCACACTCCACGACAGGACGGCGTCGGTAGGCCGTACCAGTACGCTCTGGCGTTCCACGTCGTGCCCAGAGACGCCGGCGAAGAGTACCGCCACACGGCGGACCTGTGGAGCGTGGAGAACGCGGCCACCCTGCCCCTGCCCGACTACTACGAGTGAGGCTCAACGGGCAGCAGGGCCGGGCGGTGGCGCGATGCAGGCGGACATTTGGGCATGTCGCTTATCTGTATGTAGCGTGGCACTGTTCGAGCGTGGTCAGTAGGTATTTTGATGCTTCTCTTGCTGACAGGTTAATTAAGTATTCGGATGTTGTAGACAGAATAACAGCACAGCAGTCTTGAAACCTACGATCATCCATGCACTCCAGACACTCTTAGTGACCGCCTCTGGAAATGTTTCAGTTCGGCTGGTGAAGCCGATCCATTCGAGCCGTGGCTGCCTCGCTCGACACCACCAGAGTCGGTGCAGAACGCTCGCCGTCCACGGGACGCCAGTGCCACTCGGCTCAGTACCACGGCCACCGCCGGGGATCGCTCCGGGGCCCGGCCGCTCGGCCAGGGGCGTTCCGAGGCTCCGGGAGGAGGCCGGTTGGCTCCCACCGTGCCAGTGACCGCTGAAAGATTAGATGGCGGTGGTCAGTCGCTACCAGAGAGTGGGCGCGGCTCTGACCTGACCAGCTGCGACTGTCCGGGCACGGAGCCGGGAGCGGACCGCAGAGCGGCGCGGCAGGCGAACCCGTACTGTTCTGGGTGAGCGCCGACACCGCAGTATATTCTGTCTAGAACTAGCTGTAAATGAAGTGGAAAATGTTGGGTCCATCAGTCACACAACATTCGTCAAGTGGCATTACTCGACGCTTTTTCACGATCAATAACATACAGCTGTTCTTCGCACCTCTCCCTCCTCTACACGTCATCACCCCCCCCCCCCCCTGTGCACAGGTGGCCCCTCGGGCGGCCGGTGGCGGCCGCCGCGGCTCTGACGGCCCTCATGCTGGTCCTTATCGCGTCGCCGCGGTGGTGGAGAAGGCGCCGCGACCTGGTGCTGTGGCTGCTGCCCGCCGCCGCCCTGGGCTACCTGACGCTCCGGGCACTGGCCGCAGCGGCGTGCGAGAGACTCCGGGCGGGCCAGGCGGGCGAGCCGTGACTGAGCGTCGTCACGGGTCAATGTGCGGAGCTCCACCAGTGCTGGGTCGGGGAGTGACAGACCGCGGGTGTACTGTGCAGGTTAAAGTGGAACGGTCTGTGGTCGGGGTGTGTTAAAGTGTTCAGACTTTTCAGTGGTGGGGTATTGGAAAGGGATGCTATCTAGTCTTTTGACCTACGCTAGTGTCGATTCCTGAATGCGCACAAGTACGTCACAACATGGATGAGCGATGAGTCATGAATTTACATACATGAAGTGATTGTAAGTTTCGTGGCCTTTTCCAGGAAAATCTTCTTGTCACGGACAAACAAGCAAAAAAAAAATGACAGCAGGTGTAACTTCCTACACTAAAATGAGCAAGCAATCATCGATTCGAATCAGGTTCATAAAGGCAGAACATGAGAATGAAACACAGTATATTTTGCAAAAGTGCAAAACTGAGAGCCGACACATCACTGGTCGAGATCCATCGTAGACTAGCAGACTAGTTAGTGGCGGACATAATTAATCACACACTTGACATGCACATCCCCTTCCCTGGGGCCTGGACGGAAGATTCACTAGAGATCAAAGAAAAAACAACAGCGTCGTATTCTCACATGCCGTTTACACGGTTCTTTGTCCTATCGCTGGACAGTAGTTTGACTAGAACCCGAGCGAACAATGTTGACTATCGGTGCTGGTAGTTGTCATGTGACGCACACACTGTGATACGCAACTCATAATATCTCACATATTCAATTCACTGGTTCAGCACAATCTGCGTGAACGGAGCAATGTGAACGCCATGACGGCGTGGACGGATCGACACTCACAACTGACAGAACTTTCCGTGTCTTCAGTGCAATTAATCCATGATTAGATGGCATTACGTTTCACATATCCTGACTAGCACGGTATATAATGAGTGGACGGGGAAGCCACTGATCAGTCACATATATGCGACGTTTATCGACAAACTCAGGCCAAATTCGACCTGACATCATGTTTGTACAGTTGGATTTGCGCTGTCCCTCCGCCAATTTGCCGATTTGTACCTCCAGATTTGCCGCCCCTCTCACAAAGCGACTGCTCCAGCCCTTTCAGCCGACGCTGACCGCCGCTCCGCCGCCCCTCGCTGCCGCCTCGGTGGCTGACTCCTCGAACTGTTGTCTCGCTCTCAGCATGCGCAGCCGGGCGCGGCGGAACGCTTCCAGCACGGCCCCGACGCCGGGGGCGGCGGCGGCCTGTCCGGCGGGCCGCTGCGCCCAGCTCTGGCTCTGGTGCAGTGCCGACAGCCGGACAGACACCTCGCCGGTGGTCTCCGTCCGGAACCCGTATCGGCTCAGACGAGAACCCTGCAACCACAGACGGAATGAGAGGGGAGGGGTCGATAGATTCGAATAGATGCATTTCACCGCTCTCCATTCCACAAAAGCAGTTTGAAACACGCATATGTTACAGACCGTATGAAAACCCAGTCCGTTTGCAAACGGCCTGGCCCAGTCAGGCCGTTTGAAAACGGCCTGAAAAAGCCGGCCGTTTGCAAACCGCCTGAAATATCAGGCCGTATGAAAACGGCCTAGGCAGTTTGAAACGGCCTAGACAGTTTAAAAACGGCCTAGTCAGTTTTCAAACGGTCTGGCGAACTACAACAGCCTCTGAAGATTGAATTTAATGAATCCAGGTTGGTCGATGATCAGGTTGCATCCATGTGAATGCTTGCGCATTCCATGCCGAATGACTCGTCTACATACGTCGAACATTTTCTTACTGTGCTGATGCTCGGCCCGGCCGTTTTTCGACAATATTACTAATTATACAAGTTCACGGTCCGCCAGTGCACGGCCATCCAGTTGATGGAGCCTGGCGAAGCCACTACTGGTGAGGTCTGGTGGAACGTATCACTACAAGACTCACCGATTATTTTGCGGCATAAAACGCCGGAGGAGATCAGACATCAGATGGACATCAGAGTTCACATCAGTGGCGCGGGATCCGGGGGGGGGGGCTAGAAGGGGCTGAGCCCCTCCAACTTTTCGGCTGGGGGGGGGGGGCTCGTAATGTATTTGAGCCCCCCCCCCCCCGCTGGAGGAATCGGAATCGGAAATCTACCAACATAATTTCATAGATTCATACATAGGCGCGGGAACCGGGGGAGGGGGCAGTGGGGGAAGCTTGCTCCTACAGCTCTGGGGCCGTGGGGGCGGTGCCCCACAACTTTTCATGAGGTCAGGAACCGTTGGGGCAGCTTGTCCTCCCCAAATTAGGGGTTGTGGGTCGCAAAGGAAGAAAACATGTTAGTGAACAATCCACCTCTTTCACTGGCTCGGCAACTCATTTGGCAGATTAAAACCTTTACTCCAGGCTGCCAAAATGGTAGTTTCTTCACTCAGCTGAGAAGGAATAGCGGACTTTTTTGCAAATATTTTCGTTTTTTTTTTTGTTGAAAAGGCCAAGGTCTGAAAAATAAGTGGCCTAAAACCAGTGAGAAAACTTTGGGGGTACCCTAGGTTGATCTCTATTATGGTTCAGCCCCATCCCCCCCCCCCCCAGTCTGGAAGAAGTTCCCGCGCCACTGGTTCACATTAGAGTCCTCACCGCGCCCGGTCGACCGCCGGCGGCTGGCCGGTGGCGTACGCCGGCAATACTTGACCATTGCGGTGGAAGGCGAAACTTTGAAGTCCGGGGGAAGCCCGGGTCGACCGGGCGCTATACGGGCCGGGTCTCAGTTCTGCTAATCTCTTCCTGACCAGGCCTGCATTCGTCATCGGGAAAATGAGGGATAATTTTCCGGAACTAGCGAGAATCATCGGGGATCACGAACGGTATCGCGATAACAAGACATGCTGAAGATAGGCGCTCAACAATAATTTTCCGACGGAGAATATCCGAGTGACAATATTTTTCCGGATGCCGAATGCACCTCAGGATTTCATGGTGCCATGTAATGTCATGAAACGGTCGTGCTTCAACAAACTCAACATTGTCCAGCTGTAACTTTATGCAGACCAGATTGTTTTTAAAATTCCTAGACCGTTTGCAAACGGCCTGGTGTCTGGAAAGTTGTCATACGGCCTAGACGGTCTGCAAACGGCCTGAAATTTCAGGCGGTTTGCATACAGCCTGGAATTTCAGCCCGTATTCAAACGGCCTGACTTTTCAGTCCGTTTGCATACTGACTGGGCTGTCCAGCCCGTTTGCAAACGGCCTGAATCGGGCCAGGCCGTTTGCAAACGGACTGGGTCTTCATACGGTCTGTAACACATATAGTATGAAACATGCGCATGCGAGCCACCCATCAAAACCAATTTTATTTGAATCAACTTCGTTGAAAAGCGAATGGGAGTAAATATGTAAAAAAGGCTCCAAGGCTACAAACCACGTTTACGCAACTAAATGCATTTGAAGCCCTCCCTTACTTCAGCTCTGCCCTCTCCACTCTCTGCAGCCTCTCGCCTCCTTCTGCGTTCATGGCCGCGCCTTCATCTCGTGCCAACAATGCTCACCTGGAAGTCGGTGGGTACCGCCACGAACGATGGGTCCTCCAGCTCAGGCGAGCCTCCGATGAAGAAGCGCCGCAGCTGCGCCTCTCGGCTGCCGATCGGCCTCCAGGCGGCCAGGCGGCGGCTCACACTGCCGGCCGTCGTCGGCACGGACAGGTGGGAGTAGCCCTCGGTGCGGACCATGCCCAGCGCGTCCTCCGAGAGCACCTCCACGTACAGTGTCGGCCACCGCTGGAAAGCTGTGGATACGGGACACCCGTCACCGACACTAGCCTCGGGGATACAGTGTCGGCTAGAACGCTGTGACCGCGGAGAGGGATACCCGTCACCGACGCTGCATGCGGCTGTGTCTCATAAGTCATAACTGACAGCCACACAACGGAAGGGGAAGCGAGACGCGATCAAACATCCCTCTACAAAAGTATTTTACATTCCATTTTCATTCCCTGTCGTCCATCCAGTCCCTGTCCATTGTCCAATCCCGTTGCAATCCACTGAAGCACGGTCCTTAAAGATAGTCGACTCAAACATCTCATTCCAAATAAGTTCCGATATAAATCCCGTAACATTCCAATTTATCTCAAACACAGTCCCGTCCCAAGTCCAAACCCCACCCCGTTCCACCCGCATCCCGTCTCCATTCCCTCTCCAGTCCCCCCGCATCCCGTCGCCCCTGCTCACCGGGCTCCTCGTCGTCCGGCGCGGTGAACGTCAGCTCGGCGCTGATCGGAAACCCAAAGTGGGCGTCGCGGCCGCGCGGCGCCCGACACAGCTGCGTGATACCGCTCAGACGCGTGTCGGCGCCGGCCCGCCAGCCTGCCGGCACGCGGCTCCGGTCAGACGGAGGTCGCAGAGACGTGCTGCTAGTCAGTCACAATAGTGTACAGCACTGAGACGTGGTCCAGTCGCTTGCAGACCGCAGGGGATACCCATACTCGACGAAATCTGCCATCACCAGCTACCTTTGCAAACAATTCTACGAGTAGCTCCAGATTAGTGTAACCAGCGGTGTTCTGTTAACTGGAACGTAGCAAAGTTAACGAAATCTACACCTTCAAAATTTTTGAGCGTTGACTTGACCCCTTGACCCTTCGTTTCACATTGCATTCAATCGCAGTATTTTTTATGTTAAACGGTTTCCCATTCCCCTCCATCCGGCACCTTTGGGCAGCTCGATGAAGAACTGTATGAAGAGGTTGTCGCCGTGGAAGCCGCCGGCCGACACCAGCTCTCCGTTGAGTGCCACCAGCAGAGTGCCCACAGGGGGCAGCGGGAACTCGGGAGCGGGCGCCGGCCGCGCGCCCGTATCCCTCCTGCTGCGAGACTGGGCCGTCTGAGGACACAGGGTAACGAGCCATGGAAGGGAGGCCAGTGCTAAGGCAGCGCAGTGCACCGAGGAGGACAAAAGTCAGTGAAGAATTAAGAGAGAGAGACGCAGTCGAGTAGCGCAGAAGTGAAAAGCACGACGGTTGAAATAGGTAGAATAGACCGTGGATCCGAACACTGAGCGGGTAGTCATGTACGAGTCGTATTTACGCTGAATAACTATCATACTGATCCCGACCAATCTGAGAAATATTGCTTCATAGCAGCACAGACACTACCAATGATAACCGACCAACGTTACACCCCGTTCGCGCGCCTGACCATTGTAACTGACCTGCGCGTGGGAGGCGCTGAGGTCGGCGGCTCGAGCCTCGTCGGCCGGCGGAGGCACCCACTCCAGACGGTAGGCGTACAGTCCCTTCTGGCCCTCGCTGACCTGCAGCCTGAGACACACACGGTGTATCAGTCAGTGCTGCACCGGCGGCTATGGAGCCGGGACACACGGTGGGGGTATGGGCGTACACATAGGCAACTGAAGCAATGGCAACTGAGATGGACGATGCAAAGAACAACCGAAGGAACATTCAGTGTATAAAACGGCAGACTGACCTGTAGGGCAGCCTGCCAGACTGACTGACCCGCAGGGCGGACTGACCGACCTGTAGGACAGACTGACTGACTGATCTGTAGGAAAAACTGACCTAGGACTGACTGACCAGTGTGGCAGTCTGACTGACCAGTAGGGCAGACTGGCAGATCTGTATGTAGGACACTCGGCAGAGCTGCAGGACAGACTGACCTGTAGGGCAGACTGCCGGGACTGAAGTCGGGACGAACTGTCAGCACCCCGGACTGGCTCCAGTCCAGACGACACAGCACGTGCTCCTCGTCCCTGTGAGCCAGGGTTGTGCTTGACTCATGAGTCGAGTCAGAAATTTGACTCAACTCTGACTCAAATGAGTCAGATTTGAGTCGAGTCGGATAAAATGTTGAGCTGTTGAGTTGAGTCAGAGTTGAGTCGGACAAAAACATTAAGGCGTTGAGTTGAGTCAGAGTTGAGTCAGTAAAATAATTTTGACATCGCGTTGAGTCAAACAATGAGTCAGCTGACTCAACTTTCTAGAAACAAGCTTTTCATCCCCGCACCCCGCTTAACAACTTTGCCCTGGCCCTGCTGCCGGAATTTTTTTTCACCCCCGCCCCGCTTAACAACTTTTTTATCTGAGTCAATTTTGAGTCAACTTACTTGACTCAACAAAAAAATTTGAGTCAAGTTTGAGTCGACTCATATTTTCATTGAGCCGCTTGAGTCATGAGTCGAGTCAAGGGAAAAAATCAGCTCCTTGTTTGAGTCAGAGTTGAGTCAGGGCTTTCTGAAGTTGAATGATGAGTCGAGTCGGCAAAGTTTTTTGAGTCGAGCACAACCCTGCTGTGAGCACACACAGTCAGACGAGTCCGAATTACATAAAACACAAATAGTATCCGAGCAACGCATCTTCATAGTCGAGCTGGTGGTGACATAGCTATTGCACACTCTGCGAAAAATACTCAACGAAATATACCATTGAAGAAACGAGAGCTTTAACGTTATCCGGATTTAGAGTCTATCCGTTGCCGTCAATGGGGAGAAAACATGCACATTGCACACATCAGATGCCAAAACAAAAACCACACTAATAACTGTAATCGGAAAACACCCACAGATGGACCACCCTCAGCCGCTTTCAAGACCACCCGCCGGTATATCACCCTCGCACACCGTCGCACGCTCACTCACTGGGCGCGCAGCATGACGAACATGGTCTCTGTGGAGCAGAGGGCCAGGGAGCGCAGCCGCTGCTCCACGGCCGACAGGGCCGGCTCGGCGGGCTCACCGGCGTCCCCAGTCTGATCGGCATCCGCGCCCTCCGCCTCCCCCTCACTGGAACAACAACAGTCAACACACACCGCGTGATGGGGTACAGGCTGCGGATGGGTGGTGCTCCTTACTTTTATAGAGACGAAATCGACCGCTCTGATATATAAATTTACAGCTTCGGTCTTAGCAGCCGCGATTCAACAGAGGATTAATATGTAATCTTTTAATCTTCTAAATTCTAATGTTTAATTAAAAATGTTCGAAAACCAAATTCGAACAAATATATTTGTTAGAACCTTCCACATCAGACTTCCGGTCTAGTACCTTCATCACTAGAATGAGAACATCTGGCCGCCGAGTACATCAAACATTGCACAGTAAGCGATGGTCAAAGTGTAGCGTCCTGTGGACCATATCGAGTTCCACAGTATCAGATCTCCACACGAGGACCGTATCAGATCCCACGCAGGGACGGTATCAGATCTCCAAACGGGGACGGTATCAGATCTCCACACAGGGACCGTATCAGATCTCCACACAGGGACGGTACCTATCAGATCTCCAAACGGGGACGGTATCAGGTCTCTACACGGGGACGGTATCAGATCTCCATACCGGGATCGTGCGTGCCTGTGGGGAAGCCCAGTCCTGTGTCGCAGCTCCAGTAGCGTTTCAGCCAGCTTGGTGGGACGAACCGCCGGCTTCGTCAGCTGCTTAGAGCGCTGCAAACAACCCGGGAAATTAAACATTGGTGGCTGTCACTGGTAATGAAGCATAGTACACTAAAGACAAGCAGTTCACCTCTACACTTTATTTATTTCCATTTCTTTGAGTTGAGCACCAAAATCCAGGCATTAGGTGCAAGGAACGCGTGCACATTTACCAGTTCATAGGAAAAAACTGCGAAGTGTGTGGGGACGGACTCCAGTTAGTCAATAGTGGTCAGAAATGCCGCGCCGTGGCGATGGACCACGTCTTACACTATAGGATCCCCCCCTTCCCCAGCAGTCAAGCCACGCGGTGCGTGTAAGCCTTGTCAGTGCTTGTCGACTCTCACAAGTGTTGGTAATTAGTATCATTACCTCATTATCAGACACAGCCGCGGACACCGCACATATGCCCGCACTGGGCTCACAGACTCGTTACCACACGTAATCGCTCGCGAACGCTGCCGGTGTGACCATAGCCTAACCATACGCATCGCGCCACGTTGGTCCTAGCGAGCTGAAAACGTGCCGACGACCTCCGCCCTGCCTCAGTGGACCTCAGGCCGGCGAGGAAGCGACGTCGCCTCCGGTCTCCTCGTACGACGCCATGGCTCGACTGGTGTACCTTATGGTTGGTGTGGCTGTTCTGACGGTGGCACTGACACATGTCAGAGCGGCCGACACCGCGGCGGAGGCCGGAGCCGACACCACGCCCGAGGGCGACCACTCGGACACCAACCCCGCCACCGTCGAGGTCGAGGGCGAGGAGGAGGACACCAGCGACGCCGGCGAGTCCGAGGAGCACGCCGCCACGGCGCCCTGGAAGTACGACAAGAACGATATCCTGATCCTGAACCAGCACAACTTCGACCGGGCCATTGACGAGCATGAGCACCTGTTCGTGGTGTTCTTCACACCCACATGCAGCCAGTGTATCCAGCTGCACCCGCACTTTGTCGAGGCGTGGAAGTCGCTGCGGGAGCGCGCCGAGGGCCTCCAGTTCGCCAAGATCGACTGCACCAACGAGACGGCGCTGCTGCTGCACTACGGCATCACCCAGTACCCGACGCTCACCTTCTTCAAGAGCCAGAAGGAGAAGATGTATGACGGCGGCTATCGCTCCGTCGACATCGAGGCCTGGGTGGAGAAGCGCATGGGCGCCCCGGCGCTGCCCATCGAGGCCGTCGAGACGCTGGAGGAGGCCCGCGCGGAGAACGATGTCATCGCCGTCGGGTTCTTCCGCGACCCGGACTCTGTGTCGGCCATCATCTACCTGCGCGTGGCCGACGCGGTGCACGACTACCCGTTCTTCATCGTCCGAGACCAGGAGCTGTTTGAGCACTACGAGCTCACTGATGACACAGTCGTCGTGTTCAAAAAGTTTGACGACGGTCGGGTCGACTTTCCGGCCGGCGACTACGTGGCCGACGACCTGATGGAGTTCCTCCGTCTGGAGACGTTCCCGCTCGTCTCCGAGCTGATGATGGAGAACGTCTGGCGCGTCACCGAGGAGGCCAACGTCGTCAAGTCTCACTTCCTCGTGTTCCGCAACGCCTCCGACCCCGCCACGCCGGCCGGGATCGCCGACATGCTGCTGCCCGCCGCGAAAAAGCACAAAGGCCAGATTCTGTTCCTGATGATCGACATGGCCGACCGCCGCATGTTCCACATGGAGGAGTTCTTCGGCGTGCGCCGCGACCGCGTGCCGGCGATGCGCATCTTCCGCTACGAGGGGCCCACGTTCAAGTTCCGTCCGGCCGAGGATGGCGCCATCTCCGCGGAGCTGGTTCTCCAGTTCTGTGAACAGTTCGTCACGGGGAAGCTGAGCGCCTTCCAGCTGTCCCAGCCGCTGCCCGAGGACTGGGACGCGGCTCCGGTGAAGGTGCTGACGGCGGAGAACTACCAGGAGGTGGTGCTGGACGCTGAGCGGGCCGTGTTCGTCATGCTGTACGCGCCCTGGTGTCCGCACTGCCAGCTCACCACGCCCATATTCGAGCAGCTGGCGGCCCTGTACGAGCCGCACGCCGACGCCATCCTATTCGGGAAGATGGACGCCACGGCCAACGAGGTGGAGGATCTCGAGTTCGCCAGCTACCCGACCTTCTACCTGTACACGACCGGCGGCCAGCGGCAGCAGTTCAATGGATCGCGCACTCTCGACGAGATGGTATCGTTTCTGAGCGAGCACAGCGGAGTGCAGCTCGATGTCGATCTGCCCGAGTCGGGCGAACGCACCGAGCCCGACGGCGACGCCAGCGAGACTTGTAGCGCAGGTGGCGGGGATTGTTTGGAGGAGGTTGCATCAAAGGACACTCCGCCCGCTGGGAGTGCAGAGGGTAAGGGGGCGGAGCTCACCAATGACACCCCCGACGGGTCTCCGCAGCAAGCAGCAGCCAAAGACGAACTTTGAGACAAGTGTTGGCATTGGGTTCCATCGGGAAATGTTCGAATGTAATCACGAAAATGTCTGGAAATAATCATGGCGGACACATCCACACAGACACAATTTCAATTTTCTTAAGTTCTGTCAAAATAAAAATCGTATACGAAGTCGGAAATCGTTGCAAGATAGGTACTGAGCTCAACAAATGTAATACGTCTGAAGGTGAACGTCAAGAACTTAGCCCCACGAGTTGCGACCGTTATTTCTCCGTTACGGAGACCGTGACCTCTCCGTTACGACCATTACGGTTGACGACTATTGCCCTCACATTGAAACTTTGGCGTCCGAACATTAAATACAAACTTTTGTCTATTGTTGTCATATGAGCAGGGAAGTCTTGAGCATTGGATTGAGGAAGCTCACTTGGCATGAACTAGTGGCTTGACTTTTAACAACTGATGCCTTCTCCCTTATATCGAACTAAACAGTGCGGTAAAACTTCCATCTGCCGAAAAGCGGCGACGTGCCCTCTAATAGTGAAAAAAAAACATCCTGAAGATCTGCAGGCCAACCAAAAGGAATAAATTAGGGCATGTATGATTATCCTGTTTGCCCTTACTAGCTGAAACTGTGAGGCCAGCACAATGATATGTAAACATATTACGGTTCATTGCTGACCAGCACTGCTGTTCTTCGGTAAAATGTGTATTCAGATATTTTGTACATCGACCTTTTAAGCAAGATAATAAAAACAATGGTAATGAAGAAAAGTGGTGACATGATAAATGACAATACAGGACCTCAATTAGAGCACATCCCGACACCTTCACTGGGACCCACCTCGACCCGTTCACCGGGACCCACCTCGTGCTGGGCGCAGAACTCCTCGCCGTGGATGTGAGTGAACACGGCGTTGGTTGGGGGCTGGGCAGCGGCTCGCAGCCGGAGCGCCTCCTCCTTGAGCCTCCGCTGCAGCTCCGTGCCTGGCGTCTCCAGGGAGCAGTACCGCTCCACCTCCGCAGCACTGAGGACATATCCACAGTAAGCTGCAGAACGGACTGCAGTACCACTGCCGCGCTGGCAGATTATGCGCTGGCAGTATGCACGCCGCACATTCAGCTACAACTGGGACTTCCCAGCCGGATAAATGAGCAACGATCCTGCTGTGGAAAGCCTTCAGCACGTGACCCATCAAAACCGGTGGTACCTGAATATTTTCTGCTGCCATAGCACCAGAGCTTCCTCAGTTTGTGGGTCTGCTGATCCTTGGCTGCTGACTGTAACCCTGGAAAGAAATCATACAGAATATGTCAACACTCTTCATAGTACACGACATACCATGAACGTTATTTAAGAGGCTCCTGATAACAGAAGAAGAGAAACAGGCTTTTGGTTTAATTGACCCTTTTTGTGGAAAGACAAAACATTCCCAAAAGCATTAGAATAGGAGGTAGGTAGGTAGGTAGGTAACATACCACACAATTAGCAAATGTGCCACAGTAATGAAAAAACTGAACACATTATTAAGCAAGCACAATAACTCAAGGAGAACAATGCTTAACATTCAGACAAGCTTGATTAAAAAATGCATGTTCAGCAGCCTCTTACTTGATGGCCAAAGTAGATGAAAGGTCGGTGCACCTGTATATGCCAACCCCATCATCCTGGAATTCTTCTGTGAAGTCCATGTTTAATACAATATTAAAATCATGTAGTAAGCCTAAACAACAACTTTGTCTCCAGAACCTGGAAATATTTCAGAAACCTTTATAACTTGAATTTGGATTCAGAAAAAAATGTAGGTAGGTTAACATAGGAAGGTACCTACCTACCTATATCAGGACCTGTAGCTCAGTCTACAGCCAGTAGAGCATTGGACTCCATGTGGTGAGAGCACACGTTCCCAGTTATTACCTACAGTTCGGGTTTTAAGCTCAACGCGCGCTCCACATTTATGAGCCTTCTGCTAGGTATGGTTACAATTGGTGGCAGGCCATAGCCAGAGGTCTGTTCACGGGCTCTGTGTGCGGTCAGACCATACACAGCCTTCAAGCTCTGCCCACTGCGACCCTACTTCAGCCTTCCGTCACCGCACAGCGCACACAGCCACTGCTGTGGCTGGTCGGGAGGGGACTGGCCACAGCAGACTGTCCACCGCACGCAGCCGTGTCGTCGGAACCGCCTAGTGCAAGCCTTGCTTAGCAGGGGCTCTGTACTTGAGAATCCCTCCATTCAAAGGGTTTTGACCAAATTTATTAAAAAAAATATTATACATAGGGTACGATCGCAGTGAACCTGAACTGGAACAGGAAATGCAGGTTCATCGGATCGTGCGTGTAGCATGACCTCAATCCAAAACTACGAGGATGCAAAATCGTTTCTGTATACTCTGAAATTGCTCTGAAAGTAAGCTGCACAGCAAAATGAAACTGCAAAACGGCCACTACGTCCACATTACATCAAAGATAATGTCATTCAAAACCATTCAAACCAAGGCCATCTATAGATTCAAACTATTCAAGCACGGTATATAGAGAACTTATTAAAACCTTCAAGCATAAGCAGTAATCGCCACGCACTTTGTATGTGGATCGCTCTTAAATGTAAATGCAATACAATGCAATACAATACACAAGCAATGTTTGTAAACAAAGATGCGTATGCCATAAATGGCGCGCTTGTTACAAGCATAAGGCGAAAGAAGATGATCATGAGATAAATGGCGTCACAAGATCAGACCGATCGAAATGCAATTGATGATTTTGGGAAGTTATTTTTGATGTAAGATTGAATTATTTTCCCAACCTAGTCATATAACATTTTCAAACTTTTTTCGCAGCAAATCTTGCAGTACAAGCTCTCGTCTTATACGGCTTCAAAGAAAGTGTAAGCCTCATATCAATGACGTAACGCATAACAGTCATTCGAGGCAGATGCATTGAATAAAGTACTCTCACTGAACTCTATAATGAGTACTCTTCATTATGCGTCTGCATTTGTCGCCTTGCTTATTGCTATATTGATATGATAATGCATTGCTTTTGTGTGCGATACCCTTGAGTCATTTTAATTTGCATTTGTAATTGTACCTGGGTGCCTTGGTGTTCCGATGTACCTTTAAATGGTATGTTGGCACGTAGTGAGTGTTCGTAGGTACACTTTTGCAGCATAATAAAAATAGATATGAAGCTGTACGACAAAAATTTGTCTGCATTTGCTGTTACACGAGCTAGCATCGACAGGGAAGGCTTTCTTTTCAAGCGAGGAGAAGTGAACAGGTCCTTCCAGAGAAGATGGTTTGTGCTGAAAGGAAATTTGCTTTTCTATTTTGAAAGAAAGGAAGATAAGGAACCCCTAGGAGTTATCATTTTGGAAAATTTCACAATTGGTAAGAAAACTTACATTGGTAACAGTGCCACCTGTCATGAACATTTCCAGCATTTAGATATTGATATGTTATTTCATGAAAATGCCTGCTATTAATTTTGTCAAAGTGCAATGAGAGATCAGTCAATTTTGCAAATGGATGCTGAGGAATGATTCTTGAAAGGGAATTTGGTGATACAGATCCACAGCAATGATGATACCTAAGAGGCTGATGGAGAACTATCATTTCAGACATGTGTGATGATGAAGAGCCACACAGTTTCAAGATTGTGTTCCTGGGTGATGCAGGCAGGGAGTACGTCATGCATGCTGACAGTGATGAACAGATGGAGGCCTGGATGAGGTCCGTTTCATCAGCCAGTTATGAACACATCACCATGATGGTTGCAGAGATGCAAAAACAACTGGATGAAATCACAAGTGAGTACTGAATGTTGGCAGCAGTGATTTTGTTACATTAATCAGATGCAATTTGCTAGTATGTAGTATGTTAAGTTATATTGCTTAAATGCCCTTTTTGTTTCAGAAGATCAGTTTGCCCCTTGCTTAGCAAGTAAAGTAAGTAGTGTAACCATGAATGACTGCTCTCATAAACTTAATCACCAAGCCCAAATAGACTTGGAGTATATGAATTGATCAGAGCTTGGAATTCAGAATTCAGAGTCTAATTGTAAGCTGAATACTGATAGGTACCTATGCCTAACATCGGCCCAAACTGTCTATCGACCCGTCCTCGATGGCCCCACGCTGAGCGGCCGCCCCTCTGCCCAGGCTCGGCGTCCTCTGAGGGCCGTCTAGTGGACGTGGGCGAGCCGGCCGCGCCGTCACCGGTGGCACCGCCGCGGCAGCGGCGCGCCAACCCGTTCCACCAGAGCGAGCCGCCGCCGGCCGGGCCGCGGCTCGGCTTCCGCGCACTGCACGAGGAGCTGGGCCGCGTCATCTGCTACGACCGTACCAACTGGTGGGAGCGGCGCGCGCCGGCCGTCGCCCAGCTGATCGAGCTCTGAGGCCGGCCGGGGCACCGCGCCGCGCCCACTGGCGGCAGACGCCGCGCCACGTCCACACGTGATACCGTGCTGAAAGGACTGGGCCCTGAGCTGACCGCCAGCGGTCGGAGCAGTGCGCCTCTCGACAGGCGTGGCGACGAGGCAGCAGTGGGCGTCGCTAAATGTGATATTGATTACTACTGAGGCAGTACTCCCGGCGAGGGTCGGCTTGTTGTCGGCCGTCGTACGTTCTCTGTACCGGAGCGGCAGTATGTGAGGCCTATGATCGCTGTGACGGTATTTGTCCGAGCCACCGAACGCTTGCCGATGTTTGTTAGCGACTGATGTGGGAAGCTGCGTGTGCCAATCGTGATACCGGAGGCCTTGAACTGACGGCCAACTGGAAATGGTGTGGGTGTTACGGTGGGATAGTGCGGCAGTACTCATCCTGTTATTGAAGACATGTTGCTGATGATTCACCGCACGGGACAAAACCCCCGTACCTGTTTGTAATGCGGCATCCTGTCGGCAGTCTTACTAGTACAGCATGACAATTTTAGTTTGTAACGACCTTGTGCATGCTATAATTTCATTTGACGCCTGTTCCTCCTGCTTAGCTTGCTGTTGTATTATTCGAATATTTAGGCATGAATGAGCCGTATGATTAGCCACTGCTAGGTACCGCGAACTATGGTTACACATGTCACCCTGTTGTAGAGCTGGTCATATCGAGTGTGCTTTCAAGCACGTCTGTATTCTATGCTAACCACGCCCATTCCATGTTGATGCTTTAACCGATGTCCCCAGCGCGACCTATCATGCACCCGAGTCGGCGGCTAGTTTCGATAGCGTTATACGCTTATTCAGCCCAGAAGTATAGGGCAAAACTGCGGCATCCACTGCGGTCTACTGTAAAGCTGTGGCGACTTGCTAGCAGGCCGACATGACTAGGAGTTAGGTATATACGTACAAGTTCAACGGACTGGTGGAATCATTTGACGGGAGCCTGGAGTTTCTCGTCCCTCGGACAGTTCGGTGGTCTGTTCACAGCTTCGTCTGGTGTACGCCGCGTGCATATGAATGTTGGGATTGTTGGGCGATGACAAGTGGCAAGAACTTTCAGGACTCTCTGTCGCCCCGAAGGTTGTGGAAAATAGCCTCACGTTATGCAATTTGTGTCTTGAGCGGCATTTAACAAAGAAGACAAGGCCTTGTGTTACTTATTAATGCGCCGTGCTAATACTGTGACGCAATTTAGTATTGACAGTGCCACTGAAAATATAAGACGTCGTTACCAACCGTGGCATGTTTGCATTAACCCTCGCATGTGTGCGGCGTTTGCCAGCTTCTAATGTGTAGGGGGGGGGGGGGGTCGGTTGGACCCCCCCCTTGCCGTTTGGCCCCTGATCGAGCTAGAGCTTCGCGGAAAAAACGAGCGTGTTGCCCGTGACGAGAGGAAGCCGATGATACCCAATTTTAAGGTCCTAGGTCATTGGTAGACCTTGCAGGTCAGGTCAATGACCCAAAGTCGGGAAAATCGGGACCTGTTATAAAGTCGTAAAGTGTGGCTGCTAAGGGGTTTTTCGGGGTGCTGATCACGAATATCGTGTTAGTTTTGATCACAGATGATGTCTTGAAGCATTTAGACCAGGTCGGGTCAGGTCAGGTCAGGTCAACCAGTAGGCGTCGTGACGGGTATTCGTAGTAGGGGAAGGTGGGGTAAGACGGCCCAGCGGGGCAAGACGGACACTAGCCCTCCCGGCTGAACCGCTGCTGGTATCTACTGCTTTATGCACTCACTGTGTTTGTTTTCCTTCGTAACAAAGGCCACGTTGAGCTCATGCTGCTAGGCTGCATAGCTTTTGAGTTATTGAGAAAAATGTTGTTTTTCGTCAAACCGATCTAATATAAGAGGTCTACGGGTGATTCAATTACGGCGCCTTTCTTGCATGATTAGTTTCTATTTTGCACTTAACTGTGAAGAACAAAGTTATAAATTTAGTTATAGTCACACTTTAGGAAAGGCAAGGTTTTGCAATGTTGGGCTATTTGACATATACGTCATGATAATGACAGAATTTAGATTTGGGGCAAGACGGACCACTGTGGTCCATCTTACCCTGTGGTGGTCCATTGTACCCTGCATATGGAAAGTTTTTTTCCAAAACATTGACACAAGTTTAAGTAAGCTAATTTTCAGGAAGGAGTCTTTGTTGTTGCATGTGAGCCATGCATGCAAGTGCTCAGTTAGCATGCATTCATGCCAAACGACAATCAACACACATGTTCCCAGCTTTTAGCTGCACTTCCATCACACATGAGTAAAGAATAAAGGCTCATTTTGTTATTTTACCATTCTGGTTACTTTTTCTTACAAGAGTACAGAGCAGAAGTGTAACACACATGAACGGATAGCAGGCACTGCTGGGTGGTCCGTCTTACCCCACGTTTTTTCTCGTCTGAGTTTTTGACATGTCCCTCTTTAAGAGCATCCACCACCTAGATGTCTTTAATTTGAAATTTAGTCTTTACACATATCAACAGAGGAAGGATTGAGCATTCCGAAGACTATAAATAATATGAATTACGAGAGCAATGTAGCAAGATATGCGGCCTCAAACCTTAGCTGGTCCGTCTTACCCCACCTTCCCCTACGTGTCAACCGCCTCTGACAGCTTCGTAACATGTTACGAAGTCACCAAAACTACTTCGTAAATGTTCAAATAGTTGCTAAATTCGAATTCAGCTCCAAAAACTAGCCTAGAAACATGTAAAACTCGAAAAAGTGACCCGAGGTCACCCGAGGTCACCAAAGGTCAATGACCTGACCTGACCTTCAGGTGACCTTGACACACACGGGAGTAACATCAAATCACATGTTTGAACGTTTGAAACCACGAAAAGCTTGCAAACACGCGGCTAGTGCGAGCCGACATACGCGAAATCGCGATTCCGGCCAAACATGGTCTCGGAAAAGAGGTCACAGGTCAAAGGTCATTTGGGTCAGGGTCATGAAATTTTCAGGGTAGGTGTAAAATTGATCAATGTGAGGGTACTGAAACTTTCGTCGCGATCGGCCGCTTTTTACGCGAGTTATTCGCGAAAAACCATGGGGGGGGGGTCCATCCGACCCCCCCCCCCTACACATGCGAGGGTTAAGTTGCTAGGTGTCGTACGACTACTGCGACGACGCTTCAGCGTAGGTACCCTCAGCGGAGACGACCGTGGTAAAACGGGTATTCAGCTGAGCGAGTCGCCTGGTTTATTGTCACCATCGCTAGGGTGGGAACATCGATGCACAATTAAAGCAATAAATAATCCACAACAGCCAGTCAGCGCAGCGCACGGGTCCCTGCCCGTGCGCGCAGTCTCTCCTCCCGCTAACACAGGCGCTACAGTGGCGGCGGCGGCCGGTGCCCGGTCCCCGGGTCCGTCGTCGACCGGCGGCCGGCGGACTGTCTCCCCAGCGACCGGTGCGCGCGCCGGCGGGGTCCCCCGGCCAGGGGGATGGCGGCCCAGCCACCCTCGGAATGTCTGCAGTGGACGTCAACTGGCCTGCGTTTTGTGCGAACGGTTTACTCGTGAAAAAGCGACTCGATCCATATAATTTTGACGCCTTTCGTTTCGCACCGTGGATAAAAGAACAAACTCAGATACTGAATATAAAGAAGTTCGGCAAGCACTTGCCGAAGGCCGTAAAAGGCCGAACTTCAACGCAACTTTTTAACCTGATATTTGATAAGACAAATCCAGTACCAACCATATGACCTGGATATACGATGAGTTGTCAGCCCATTCTGAGATTAACAAGAATATCTTAATCACAGCAATAACAATATTCCATATGATATCGTCAAGAAAATATGCAATAAATATAGCTGTACTCTGTCCAACAGTTTGGCAGCAATCTGGCATTGCATTAATCACAGCCAAGCTCGTCTCGGGACGCGGGCTGGGTCTGGGTCTGGGTGTGTCCGCCGTCCGCCGTCGGTCGCCGCAGGACCCGGGAACCCGTGGACGCTAGGCGGCCGCCGCCAGTCTCCGCACGCCCGTCCGTCTCCTGAGTGTGCTCCCCGGACTAGAGCCCCCCGCGGCGGCGGTCCCGGCCGCGCCACCCACCCCCCGCGCCAACAGCGAGAATACAGACCTCCAGCGGGCGTCACACACACAACACGCGGCGACGCCGGCGGCCGCCGGCACCGCCAGACACTCGCCGCCGGCAAAAGAAGCGTAGGGAAGGCGCCCTACGGGGCATTCTTGTCAACTCTTGGTGGGCGCTGTGCTGTGTGGAGCGCCCGGTCGGCCGCCGCGGCCCCGCTGCCCGCCGCGCCGGCCGCCACGGCCGCCCCGACCGCGGTGGGCTCCGCCACCCCCGCCGCCGCCGCGACCGCCATGTCCACCGCCGCCGCGGCCGGCCGCTGGGGCGGGGGCGGCGGGCTCCCCGCTGCCGCCTGGCTGCGAGTTCGCGGCGGCGGCGGCAGCAGCAGCCCGACGGCGCTCGGCCCGAGACGGCCTCTGCAACAGAGGCCAGCTTAGTCACAACAGCTGCGGAGCCTGTCAGTCGCCATGACCGTCTTCGCTTGAACACCAAGAAACGTCTCACAATAACAATTTCGCAAAAGAAAAGTTTATACAAACGCGATTCTCGAAAAATATTGCTCCTGTCTCTCAGGTTTTTATCATGTACACTCGGGGTCAGATTGATGTTCCACCACCCCTTACCCATCGGGCTCCCATGGCTCAACACTGGCAGCGGCCAGTGGCAGCACTGGCACTGGCAGGCAGTGCTGAGCAGTGCTGCTGTGAGGGCAGGCAACACTGGCAGCGGCCAGTGCTGAGGACACGGACACGTGCCTGACGCCCAGCACTGAGGTCAAAAATCTTGGTGTGGTCTTCGACCAGCAGCTGTCATGGGACGCGCACGTGAGGGCGGTCTCGCGTAGATGCTGCGGTATCCTCGCAACACTATCCCACCTACGCCACTTCCTTCCTCCTGACACCCTTCCCGAGATAGTCACCGCCCTGGCCGTCTCGCACATCCGCTATTGCCTCTCTGTTTACGGCAGCGGCAGCGCTGGCAACCTCGCAACCATCCAGAAGCTGCTCAACTTTGCGGCTCGCGTGATCGCGGGCAAACGAAAGTTTGACCGCGTGTCAGCTGTGCGAGACAGGCTGGGGTGGCTCGACTCGTCTCAACTCTTCCAATACCAATCCCTCTGCCTCCTTGACAAAGTCCTCTCCTCTAGCCAGCCCGAATGCATCGCCCGTCAGGTCTGCCTCAACCGGGACCATCATGGCCATGTCCGGCACACCAGACAGGACGATCTCCTGCACGTGCCACCCATCCGTTCGGAGGCGGGCCGGCGACGGTTTGTATACCGCTCGCCCCACCTCATGAACGATCTGCCCATGTCGGTGCGGAACCTGCGAGGTCCGCGGTTCAGGCGAGCCCTGAGGGCCCACCTACTCTCGAGACGAGACACGTGATGAACGCGTTTTTGATCATGATGCCGTGCAGGTGGTTTTTTTATCCTGAGCTATATGTATATTTTAGGTTGTGTAACATCGTGAGTGTGTATTTTACCCTGCATGTTATGATCCGATTTTATTGACGTGAAGGCCATAATAGCCACTTGTCTTGTGGATGGCTTTTTAATAAACTACTACTACTACTACTACTACTGAGCCATGGGAGCCCGATGGGTAGGGAGTGGTGGAACATCAATCTACCCCCGAGTGTACCACCAGAAGGACCTAACCGCTACCGTCCGCCCGACTGACCTGCTCCGTCTCCGGCGCCGTGACCAGCAGGTACTTGTTCTTCTCCTGTTCGAGGTCGATGAGGCCGCCGCGCTGCTGCTGCTGGAGGAACAGCGCCGCCATGCGCCGCTGCAGACTGCGCAGCTCGTCCGTGGCGCGGAAACCGGCCGCCAGTGCTGCCAGCTCGGGCGGCGGCGCGGCGCGCAGCGCCTCCAGGTCGTACCCGATCGGCTCGCGGCACACCGGACAGACCACCTGAGCGGGGGAGAACGGGACTGGGGTCACACACCGGACAGACCACCTGAGCGGGAGAGAGAACGGGACTGGGATCACACACCGGACACACCAGAGCGGGACTAGGGTCACACACACCGGACAGACCACCTGAGCGGGAGAGAACGGGACTGGGGTCACACACCGGACACACCAGAGCGGGACCGGGGTCACACACACCGGACAGACGAGAACGGGTCTAGGGTCACACACACCGGACACACCAGAGCGGAACTGGGGTCACACACTGATACCTTATATGGAATGGACAAACTGAATATACACCACTGGTATCCCTGGTCACATACTGCCCTACTGACTACTGAGTACACCATTTTACCGGGGATCTGGTGGTCACGATAATCATGGCACTACCACTGATTATACCTGCAGCTGACGATACGAGCAGGAACGAGGGTAGACTGACTGGTGTTCCACGCTAAGACAGGCGGTTCATTTTCAGGCTGTGTGTGTGACGCACAGTGACGAGAGACAAGAAGAAGGGATTAAACGGCAAAAGATAGACAAGACTCAAAGGCACAGCCGCAGGGGAAAAGTTCAAATAATAGCTATACAACACGTGCAGGGATCACACACGAGCAGGAGACTCACGTCGGTGGTTTTCTTCTCCTGCCAGGGGGGCGTCTCCTCGTCATCCTCTGAATCTAGCACGTTCTCCACATACCTGCAAGGTCAGGCGTGTGCGTTCAGCGTTACACAAATAAATCGACGATAAGCATCTGAAATCAAACAATTACCTTCTCATCGTTTTGTTCAACGACAATTATTTAAACTGATTTTGTTCGAGAGGAGTTCTATTGTGAAGTTCATAGCCAATAAATGGTCATATAAGCACCAACATCTCCAACGTCATAAAAAGTCTTAATTTAGCGGACGATTGCACAAAACAATGACTGTCGTGTGTAGATAGATATTCAATTTCTGACATGTTTCCGCGTCACAGTTGCAGTAGCCGGGCCGCCGCACGCGGTCGCACCTGGCCAGACACTGGGCGTGGAAGTAGTGGTAGCAGGCCGTCTTTGTGAACACGTCCTGCGCCGTGAACTCGTACAGGCAGATGACGCACGGCACCGCCGGCACATTGCTCTCCGTCAGGTGGTCCCGCGCCAGCTGACGGTCAGATATCAGACAACGGTCAGATCTGACGGCACGTTACTCTCCGTCAGGTGGTCCCGCGCCAGCTGACGGTCAGATATCAGACAACGGCCAGAGAACAGACAACGGTCAGATATCAGACAACGGTCAGAGAACAGACAACGGTCAGAGGACACACCACGGTCAGATCTGACGGCACGGCACGTTACGCTCCGTCAGGTGGTCCCGCGCCAGCTGACGGTCAGATATCAGACAACGGTCAGAGATCAGACAACGGAGAGAACAGACAACGGTCAGATATCAGACAACGGTCAGAGAACAGACGACGGCCAGACACATAACGGTCAGAGGACACACAACCGTCAGATCTGACGGCACGTTACTCTCCGTCAGGTGGTCCCGCGCCAGCTGACGGTCAGATATCAGACAACGGTCAGAGAACAGACAACGGTCAGAGGACACACAACGGTCAGACGACGGCACGTTACTCTCCGTCAGGTGGTCACTCCCGCGCCAGCTGACGGTCAGATATCAGACAACGGTCAGATCTGACGGCACGACACGTTACTCCTCGTCAGGTGGTCCCGCGCCAGCTGACGGTCAGACATCAGACAACGGTCAGAGAACAGACAACGGTCAGATGACACACAACGGTCAGAGAACAGACAACGGTCAGAATATGACGGCACGTTACTCTCCGTCAGGTGGTCCCGCGCCAGCTGACGGTCAGATATCAGACAACGGTCAGAGAACAGACAACGATCAGATCTGACGGCACGGCACGTTACTCTCCGTGAGGTGGTCCCGCGCCAGCTGACGGTCAGATATCAGACAACGGTCAGAGAACAGACAACGATCAGAGAACACACAACGGTCAGATATCAGACAACGGTCAGATGACGGCACGTTACTCTCCGTCAGGTGGTCCCGCGTCAGCTGACGGTCAGATATCAGACAACCGTCAGAGCTGACGGCACGACACGTGAGGTGGTCCCGCGCCAGCCGACGGTCAGATATCATACAACGGCTAGGTGACGGATAGTAGATGACAGATAACAATTAAATCACCGATACCAGTCAGCCGTCAGAATACACCGGTCAGAGAGCGTTATCGGATAGTGCTGAGCAGCTCCTGTACTGTGTACTGGTCGCGGTTCGAGCCAGGCCGGTCAATGGGTCACGGGGGCACAGTGCAGCGGTCAGTTACCGGCGCATACCCGGGACAGTCACAGTACACGCCCTGCCCGTACAGGACGGCTTACATCACACACGCACAGCAGAGTATTACGTTACGGGCGCGGTAGCACGGCCCAGGCCCCAGTCGCCGCCCGCCGGGCCGCGGCGAAAGTGAGCCGGTGCGAGCGGAACCCGAAGAGGGTGGTGGCAGCTCGCCATGGCTGAATTATTTGGTAGAACACCGGCCTTCCGTGCTGCATCAGATCTCGGAAAACCTGCCTGCCGTACCTTTATCAGCAGCTGCGGATGCGGTAACTAAAACGGCCTACGTTACCTGTGTATTATCTGGTGTACCACCTGCATGTGCTAACACTACCCAAGATAACTTTACTACTCCCCCTACCAGCTGAGCCGTCGTACCTCTATAAGCAGATCCCTCGTACCTCGATCAGCTGGTAGAGCACCGGCTCGCCGCGATACTCTTCCATCTTGGCGAAGCACTGCTGCTGCACGCGCTGCACCGTCTGCTCACTGATGCCGCGAGGGTTGGAGATCACCACCTGCCACGGCACACGGTGAAACACGCGTCACTGCCAGCCGCGAGCCGGCGGCCACGTCCGCGATAGCATGGACCAGGCAGGGGTTACGCAGCGATCGCCAGGGCTGACAACACCGGAAAATATCATCCATGCAAGAGCAGGCAGACGATAGCCCGCAATGTGACAGAGAGAGCTGTTACGGTAGCAGTGAAAAAACATAGGCAGCGTTTGAATGAAATACAAACGCAACGTTTTCCCTAACATTGACTTTACTGTTCAATCGCGAGAGAAAAGCAGTAACACAAGATAAAAAGGGGACTTTCAGGCAAAGCAGCGTCCACAACCTTGAATCAGAACCCATCCTACTAAACAGTCCGGCGGCACAGCCGGAAAACGAAAGTGAAACCGAAAGTGACAAACAAAAAACATCCGTCCCGTGTATGCACATTCTCCTAGCGCAGGACCCGTAAGACAAAACATCATTGTGTTCCCAAAACATCGGCCCATCTTCCTCGTCTGCCCGCCGCATATCGACGAAGGTTAATTAGCTCTCTCTCGTTCGCTCGCTGCACTCCCCAGCCCGGCCCTGGCCCGGCATCCCGTCGGAAATGAAACAGATACCAGTGGCAGCGAGCTCACAATGCGAGACAATGCGACGGTACGCGACAGTACGCGACAGCGGCTCGGCCGGCAGCTCATTAGTACGGCGCCGGCTAATGTCAGCCGCTGGAGCCGGCCCGGCACTTGGAGGCCGCAGACACAGTCCGCACCAAAAGAGCCGCAGTACCCACCAAAGACACCACAGTCTACACCAAATTGCAAATACCACAGGGCCACACTTCGCATCAAACACGGCAGGACCGCAGTCTGCACCAAATACCCACAACACTACAACAGCCCCCCCCGCACATTTAGAGTCCGAGGGTTGGAGAGACCTTGTCTAATACCGTTATTTCCGAAGACTGACCGATGACAACTAGCATAGCATATGAATATGTAATATGAAATATTTCATATTCATAAGACGTTGATCGAGTAGACGCATTATCTAATCATATGAATTTACCTGCCAAAATGCAGGACCGGCCCTACCAAAGCGCAGTCTGCACGAAAACGTCAAAAAGATGCACCATCACTACATTGCCTTTTGTGAGTGCAATGTGTACAACCCTAAGTCCCTGCGGGCTGACCACATTCCCAGAGACGAGCGGGTCTCGCAGGACACCAGAGCTGGGCCGCCGGCGTCTCGGCTCACCTTGGGACTGTCGCTCGGGTAGCCGGCGGGCAGGTGGAGTGTCAGCGTCATCCGCACGAACTGCTCGTCCCTGTTGTGTGCTGTGGCCGGGTGCAGGGTGACCGACACCTCCTGGGGACGCTCCCTGGGCGGAGAAACACGGTCAGTTGGGCGGGGACACAATCTACTGGGCGGGGAAACACGGTCAGTTGGGCGGGGACACAATCTACTGGGCGGGGAATACAGTCAGCTGAGCGGGGGAACCGCACGGTCAGCGGGGAACACTTAACGGCGTCACTGCTACACTTTCAGCTGTGCACGGCAGCACATCACCGGCAGAGCACAGACGCCGCAGATATGGGCTGAACACAGACAGACGGGTGTTCAACTCACCCGAGTCAAATACGTCCACAAGCACCGGTCGAATCCCCAGTCCAATACGCCACATTCACGGCTGGTGCTCGTAGCTCAGTGCCAAGCGTGACCGTAGTCAGACACGAACATACTCGTAGCCAGCTTTGCGAACATACCCGTTGTAGACGACGTTCAGGTCATCCATCAGCGTGGCCTCCAGAGCCGCCACCTCCTCCAGAAGCCTGCCGCGGAATTAGCAGCAAATGTAAATACTAAATAGAGGTGCAGTGTATGACATGAGCAAAAGCAGTCTCTCTTTTACACCACGCTTATAATCATGGCTGAGACACAAGTATGTATCAAGTTCATTTTTTCTAGTTCCCACTCTTTCTAGTAGATTCCCTACAAGCATTTTGAATGAAAATTTAGTAACCCAGCACAAGCCAGATGGAAGAAGTCGGGGTATAATCCCTAATTTAAGGGAATCAAATCCCCGTTCCAATGCATTCGGCATGGCAGAGACAGCAGTGGTTTTTACTTTTTACCAATTGAAACATGTCTTTTGCCAGAGTTCATTTGCCAGAGCTCAGACTAGAGCAGTGTTCCATTTCTCAGAATTTTTGGTGGAAAATCACACTGCATGAGAAAATATTTTCATTCCAAAAATCAGAAGTGGCATTAGTTAATCTTAAGAAAATGTTTCATACATTCGGACAGCCATGTTATACATGACTTGACAGTTGAAGCATCCACATTCCACATCCTTTTCTTTCAGATCCTGTCATGATCCTGGCATGATATCCTGCTTTATCAATTGGCATAAAAATCATGGTTTTACACCAATTTGTGAGATACTATGCCTAGCTATTTACCCTCTTTTTTGTCATCCAAAGAAATTCTTTTTTGATCAGCACACCCAAGCCAAAATCCAATTTTAGAACACTGACTCAGAGGAAATACTACTTCAGAGGAGTCCATGCAAAAAATACAATCCAACACATATACAGCCCAGCAAACCTTCCCAACTGGGCCTCTTATCAGTATAGGTTGAAAGCATGGAATCTGGGTTTGTGTGATCATGGGCAACAGAAGTGGGCCTAACATATGCTTAGTCTGGCCAGACTTCATCTTAGCCTTATAGGCATCAGGATCAACAACCACTATGTTACACAAACTTTGAAATTCACTGGATGTGCCAATGTTTGAGTCTCAGACATTGGGTCTTCTCCTCAGTGTGTGGAGTGTTGCCTGAGCCACCAATCATGTGGGCTGCATGTGAATTGTGAGCCCACATTTGGGCTGCTCATATTCATGATCAGTTTGACTGACACCCATGACATGGAACTACAATCTAGGTCCAGGCTTGGTGCACAGTTGAGGCCCCTACAGGCCACACATGTTAATGCTGGGTATTGGCAAGTTGAATTATCGGTGAAAAATATTAACCACTTGTTGTTTGAAGCTGAAATTGAATACCTACCTACTATAAATAGTTAACACCTAGGCACTAGTTTTATGGCATATGAAATATATGCATATAAGATTCAACAGCAAAATCATGAAAAGGATGTTATGCATATATTACCATTCAAAGCTAAAAATGAATAGTAAAAACTGTAAAAATGGCTAGGGGAAAAACTCAGTACTTGTTCAAGATTTTACTCAACTCAAACTGTGCATATTTGAAGAAAAAAACTTACATGTCATCATGTTCCATGACTATGTCCTGTTTGCTATAGTGAAATTCTGAGAAAAAAGAATCACTGGGTTAGCTTCATATGTAGGTTCAAACAATATTATTTACATGAAAAAAATTGGTAGCCAGGTACCACACAACACCAAACATGAACACTACTCTGGTGATAGACAATCCAACTGAGATATTCTGGAGCTGCAGCAAGCAAAACCACCATATAATACCTACTACACCACTTAACTACATTTGCAACATGTAAGATAATTGGTCAGTTTACTACATTCAAAATATAAAAGGTACCTAACCTATCTATTACAGTGAAAAGATAAAGGAAATACCGGGTGGCCCAGAAAAAACGTTCCCAATTTTAAATCAACATTTCTCAGAAAGTTATAAAGATACAACATTGAAACTTCCAATAGTCAATGTGGCATATATTTTCAGTGAATGGTATGATTTTCATGTTATTCAGTAAATTACTTTTTAAATGGTTCGTGTTTCTAGCATGCCATGTAAAAATCACTTTTTTGCTCTGATGTTTACCAAAAATGTGAGTGAACGGGCCACTTCCATCTCGGCACCACGGCCTACAGCCATGACTGCTACTGGCAACTAGTCTCATTGGTGGTTCAGGCCTCAGGGTAACACATTCCCTCTAGCTTTTTTCCTTATTCGGTCGATTTACTATTTGATCTTCTTGAAGGGTCGGGAGGGCGATCAGCAGTAACCCATGCACCGTGCCACTCGGCTTCGCCTCGAAACAGGACTTGTGTTGAAACGAATGGCATCCATTAACATAACTTTGGCTTAGTATTTGAATACACAAAAAATATCTAAAATAGCAGCACACACGCTGGTATCATTCACGTTGTTCTATTTTTTTTTGTATTTTTTTTCTAACATGGTACGTCTAAGCCAATCATTACTTCCGTTCAACAACGGCAAAAAAAGCAAAAACGTCTTACTTAGTTCAACATAAGATTGCTGGCTTGAAAATGATGGTACAGTGTTATAATTTGGCATACCAATGCGCAAAGAAGTGACGCAGACTTGATGAAAATTTTGGCTCGTTATTTGCGCTCGAATTTGAGATATAGGCCTCCAAAGTTCGGAACGTTTTTTTGGGGCCACCCGGTAGGTACCGTAAGGTGGGGCTATTTGAGACAGTATTCAAAATTGTTACAAAATAAAAACCGTTTGAAATCTATGCTTAATTTTTGGTCAGGCGATTTACTGCTCGATTCCACACCTCCCTGAGCAAAAATAAAACGCAAAAAATCAAACAATCTTCATTTTTTAGCGATTTTAAATGCTGTCTCAAATAGCCCCACTGTCTCAAATAGCCCCACTTTACGGTATCAGGATAGGCATGTTATGTATGTAAAAAAAAATGTTGATGCAGCCCTGATTTTATCCATTATTCTTAAACCTTGTCTTAAATTAACTATACGACTACCTACCTGAAAACTTAGGTACAAAACCAAAATTACCTACCTATAAAATTTCTTAGAGTAACATAAAATGAATGAGCAAATGGAATAAAAAATCATTGAGGTTCTATAGTATTAACAGATTGTGATTGAAACAACATACGGTATCAAAATTATGTGCTGCGTGAAAAAAGTAAGAACTTGAACTTAGGTTTCAATATTTCAACCTAAGTTTGATTTGTCGTTGCATTGCAGCCTATACCTGCTTACTCATTCACGACAGTCGATATTCAGCGATTTATATAGTTATCTTCAAAAGGCATAAGGTTATTGAGAGCCCTAAATTATACGAGTATTTTTCCAAAATAGCAACCCAAGATAGAACCCAAGTACCGACCTCTGAATTCAGATTTCCAATGATGCAGAACAAGCGTTCTAAATAAACTGCGGCAGAAATGGCGAGCTTTTGCAAAATATTGTAAGTAGTGCTACCAAGGCTATATAAACCAGGTAGAACGCTCCGGGAAAAAAGTTGGAAACAATAAATTAGTTGCGGCATTCCCTGATGACGCGAATGTGGGTCAGCGGCCGGCGGCCGGCCGCCGCTAACACTGTATGAGGAGGGATGCGCGGAACTTTTGCTTGTTGGTGATTGCGCTAGGCAGTTAAATGGTAATGTTAGGATATGTTTCGAAAGTAAATTAAACGACGCTTCGAACGCCGTCAATGAATTTGCGATACGACTATTTGTTTAGTTAGAGCCGGCGAACTTTTACCTTCCGACCGCGCGCGGAGGCGATATGGTGCCACACTGGCGGTTTTTACGATAGCTCAAAATTATTTTGAGATAAAGAGATGAAATTTGACATGTCCTATCTTTTGATCAAGCTGGATCTTATGGTACAAGTCGCATATTTAAGGTAGGTCAGGTTGTTGACCTATGTTGTCGCTCGTGAGCCTCTGCACAGTCCAAAAACAACGCAATTTCTGTGTAGTGTTAATTCGGAATTAGGAAGTTCGTGACAATTGTTGTAGTGTTAATTCGGAATTAGGAAGTTCGTGACAATTGTTATGTTGCCATGGCAACCAGATCAAGGAGCCTGACTTATTGATGTGTTGGTGAGCTCTGATTGGCTAGGCCCTAGAATTCAGGGCTTTGGCCGAAGGGGATTGGTGGAGAGGGAGATGAGATCGGGGATCACTGGCAGCAAGGCGGCAGTGCGGTGGGAGCAGCGAAGGGGAACGGCAGGTCGGGGAGTCCAGGGATGGAATGGTGTCGTTATTGGGGAGTTCCAGCCCTCTGTGAAGTGCGACTACTTTTGTGTTAACATCGCCTGATATTGACAATAATATCTATCTTTTATCTAACTGGCTGTGAAATCGACTACATTCTGAACACTCAGTGCCAAGAAATCCTTCATAGAAAGATGACACTTGGCAGAAAGAAGAGTTGTCGGTTTCTTACCGTTCGTATGTGTCGTGTTTTCACAAGAGTTTAGTAAGGTCAGGTCCGTCACTTGACCTCCCCTCATAACTCAATAGGTTTACTATCATAGAAGCGTTTATCAATCGCCGGAAATCTTAGCCAATCCCACTGGACACTGGAATCTGGATCCATACCCACATGGGGCCCTCCTGACTGGCCACTCCCTCTGAAATCCACAATAACATTGGGCTGCGGCCACGGTTATGCATTAATGCTTTTCACTAACAGAAATACAACTTCAACCAGCACAGTGCACGCCGCCACAACAGTCCGACCCACGTCCCTGATATCGACTAGCTCCCGGCCGCATGCACATACGCGGAGCCGATCAGTCCGAATGTGGCCTGCAGCTTACAATTGCTGTGTCGCATGGCGCATGGCACAGGACGATTCCTAGCAGCTGTCGGCTGGAGTGGAGAAACAGCACGTTGCGACACACCGCGCCGGCGACAGAGCTCAGCAGAGCTGGTTGGAGGCTGGAGCCGGAGGTAAGAGCGGACACAGGCACAGACATTGCAGGACAAATAACAGGATGTCAGTTAGGGATATAATTCAAGACGAATGATTCAAGACGGACTGAAATAATACACATTTTGCTCACTTGGATACCAACTTCAAACTTGACGTTTATGTACATATAGCACCATGGAAACAATGGGCACACAGGAAAGAAACAAAAGATGAGTGTTTTTTAACTCAAGGAAGTAAAACAGCCCGAAGTGCAGACAAGCACATACTTTTGGCAATAGCTATCAGCTGTCCTACTCCTCTTCTCCCTTCATCAACTACTGGACACATTTGAAGCATCATATATAGCACCAATGTCCATAACCAAAGCTTGCAAGTAGTTTTAACTTCTATGAAGCCAAGGGAAATGTGCCTACATTATGCATGTAAACTCAAAATTACACATGCATGACAAAGGAAGCTTATGTAAAGAGAATAGTTGACAAAAGCATCTCATGGTTAAAATTATTCAAAACTGCACACAGGGCAAACATAAAAAGCAGCAAGTGTACTGTTCTGTTATGCTAAGAAATAGTCCAAAACAAAATACAATCTTTTCATGTTTGAACTGGTTGTTCTTCTATGCCCCTTCATCCATATCTTGATTACAGATGGGCTGTTACTGTAGGCCATGATGAAGTGACACTTGATTGCCTTTGTGCGAGTTTCAGTTGCAGCCTCCTTGGTACTGCACTGGAAATTGCAGATTGAATTGAATGCCTCTGAAAGATAGGAATACAGGCAAAGTTAGCTGTAGTAGTGTCAATGATAATAGACATGACATTTTTGTCCTTTGACATACATTTGTTGAAGTACAAAAAGGTACAAAATAAATTGGTTTGTTTCAAGACACGCACACTGCTCAAAGCCGCACAGACATTACACAGGCATATGAAATTGGTACACATAAAAATTGATGATTAAAAAGGTCAAAACTTGCAATAATAATTGAAGTTAAAGTTACAATCACAATCATTTGATTTAAAATGACTTGACATAAGTCACAAGACGCAACGCTCCTATTCTTTTATGCTTTCATTATCCTCCACATATCAACCAGCTTGATACCAGGCTGTGCAATAGTGTGTACATAACCCCATGTTGCCATTTTATTAGAGCAAGTGGGGTTACAACAGCAATGCTAATGTCAAACCCACATCTGCAACCCGTACTGCAGTTTCAATCACCTTACAAGCACACCTTCTGGCAGTCTGATAGGCAGAATGGTCATTACTACTTTCTCCTCATATTCAACACATATTTCCTTTATACAGATACAGTTTAGACCTGGTTATGGCAAGCATTTTCGAGAAAAGATATGATAAAAGTCCAAGACAAAGGTCGAGAGAAACAACACCAACATAAAACACCGACTATGTAGCACTAATACTGTCAAATTCATAAAAATATATACATGAGTCGATCAGAAATTCACTGTAGATTTCGAAAATGGTGTCAAATGACACTCAAATACCCCCATTCGCATGTACGAAGCAATATAACACTGACCTTCAATTCCGCGTGCCATTATCCATAGGCCACTGTGTATTAAATAACGCGTTCACTGATAGCAAAAAAAGAGACCCACATATGACGCGTTTGCTACCAGCCAATCAGCGCTCGAGTTACCGAGCGCTGATTGGTGGAGAGGGCCGTCGTCAGCAGCTAATTACACGTTGTTTTCCTTGAACATAATCGTGAGCGCTGATGCTGCTCACGGGCTGTTGCCATTTTTCGTAATGCTGAAGGCACGGGAGCGAACCCCCCTGAGTGCTACCATATATAAAAATACTAAAAATTTTATTACCAATAGTAAATATTTTGATGTTTTTACTATTTGCTTTTGGGCCCATAACCATAACTATAAATATAACTCTAACTATGAGAGCTAAGTATTCAGGGCTAGGGGCGGCCAAAACATGATTTGGCCCCCCTTTCCAAATCGAATTCGCCCCTTTAGAATATCCACTGGACCACAAGTCCACAACTCACAAAAGATGGCCCGACATGTAGGTATGCAAGATGCAAGATAAGTCAATAAATCCTCATTTCCGATCCCAATTAGTCCAATTATATCAAAAGGGGGATTTTTTCATTGATGACCTTCGAAGACCTGACCTCTTGGCCGGCTTTGGCTCTTCCCTTTGTTGAAAATGGCTGGATCCGCCAGTGACACAGACTTTTGAAGATAGTGAACATACGGTAGTTTCTCTACGCTTTTGAACCACGCTGCTGATTCCATAGGTTTCAACTTTCAACTACGCTACCTTCTCACATTCACATGTGAAAGTCCTTTCAGTAGGTAGGTAGGTACTTGATAAGAGTAAAAGTATGCATGAAATGTATATCTCGGAATGTTTATATAGGTGGTATCATAGGCGGCGGAACGGGGAGGGCACCGGGGCACCGTGCCCCCCTTTGATTTTGGCATTTTAACGTTAGCCCTATGGGTGTTGCACGGAAAGAATGTGACCAAAAGTCGGCAGTGCCCCCCCCCCCTTAATTGAAGGTGTTCCGCCGCTACTGGGTGGCATAAAGGGTCAAGCTCAAGTGAATTTTGCGACCTATCTATTTTGTCTGTGGGAGAAAATTGAAATGTGGCTCTTTTGGACGAACGTCATGCCAAACATTCTCAAACATCTGGTAACAATTTACATGTAAACATACAGTATTGTATCGAATTATTGCACTTTGATTTTGTGACCCCTCTTTATGCCCCGGGGTCATCTCAGGTCTTGAAAGGCATTCAGCAGTTTTTCGCCAACTTTTGATAGAGTCACGGTAGAGCGATGGCATGCACACTACGATGTGTTCAGCTCGACGATATACCTGCGAATCTATTGATTTGCAACACGGCCTTCTCCGGTCAGGTCATGACCTTGACCTGAGGTCAAATTTTTAAGTTGACCTTTCAAGGTCAACTTTTAGTTCATTCGACGTGAATCGATGAAAGGAACACGAATCTACACGATACCGGTTTAAGTAAGCTCGTGTAACGTTTCAGAATAAAACGCTGTTGCAGAGAATCTTTTTCCACAAAAAAAAAACGTTCATTTACGTCCAAAAAACGTCCTGCCCTCATTTCAGCGTTCCTGCTTGACAGCCGATAATGTAGAAACTTGCAGTTTTTACATTTGACCAGACCTTCAATGTTTTGCTCTAAAGGTCTATTTTCTCGAGGGCTTCGATTACCTTCTTGTCGTCTTTCTACGACAACGTTCGGAACTCGGAAGCTAACAAGCTAGACAAGGGGGCGCAGAATCTGCCCCCCCCCCCCCCAGCGTGGTGCGTATGGTTGAACAGTCCTCGTCGGGGCGGGGGATAGTTCTTCCAAGTCCAGCCATATTTTCCCGTCCAGAATAGTCGAACATCATCATCTGGCAAGTGG